ATGCCACGTGGTTGAGTTAACGGCCGAAATTGACAGAAGGACAAACGTTGTGCATTTCTTAGAGTTGAGGGATCAAAAAAGTGCAAAAAATTGTTGAGGGATCAAAAATGTGCATTTCGTAAAGTTGAGGGACCAAATTTAGCATTTAACCTAAAAAAAAACATATTATAATTTTAGAGAGAGAGAGAGAGGTAGTCGAATATTAATTTTAAAATTAAAAAATATATTTTAAAGTAAAAAATACATTTTACAATAAAATATATAATTATCAAATTACGAAATTTAAGTAAATTTTTTAATAATTATTGATTGAAAAAATATTAAATAATTATAAATATATGAAAGTTGACTGTAACAATAAATTGTTATTGGTTGAATAATCATCATTGCTTGAATATATAAGAGTTGACTGCGCGGAGCAATAAATTGTAATACCTTTCCAATCAGTCCTTGGTAGAGGACTGCTCCAACATCAAAGTTCACCCTTCATCCATGGTTATATATATGGTCAGAAGGCACCGATCCTTCGGATCAAGTGGTAATAGTCACTTCAGGTACACTTCTCTCATTTTTTACTTGGGGTTCAATCCAAGTTTTTGTAAAAATTGTTTAAAAAACATATATATATATATGTAGTTAGAAGAAAAAGTATTTGTTAATACGATTCTAAAATTTAAAAAAAGGAAAAACTTAAAATTATGATATTTTAATAAATTTATATTAAAAAATAAAATAATTTATTTGTAAAATAAAATCAAACTTTGTTTTTTTTTTATGGAATTTTAATAAAATAATATAATTTTAAAATATTTATTTTTTTTAATATCTAACTGTCAAGCACCAATATATATATATATATATATATCACAGACCCAGCTTCAGTACAAAAAGAAGCCAACTTATAATTCTCTTTTTGCAGAATAATTTTGAAACAAAGAAGTTACTTCGTCAGAACCTTAATGAAGAAAGAACAAAGTTAGAATCTGCAAACTGATTGCAATATTGAAGTTTTCTGTTTCTTTTCTTTCTTTTGCCTAATTTATATTATGGAGCCAAAAGATTTGCCAATGATGCATTTTATGATTTTGAAAGGGTGTATGCAGGGGAAGAAGTAATGTGGAAGCTTAAGCTTTCGTCGCAAGGAGATGATCCTTGGGTTACAAGCATGAACAATCATATCGGCAGGCAGTACTGGGAGTTCGACCCCAACCTTGGAACGCCTGAGGAGCGAGCACATGTGGAAAAGCTTCGCAATGATTTTACAATGAATAGGTTTCAATACAAACACACAGATCATCTTAATATCCGTGGGTCACAAGCATGAACAATCATATCTGTTCTCCTAATGCGCGACTCCAGATAACTTGGAAAAAATTTTGATTAACTCGTCTTAATATATATATATATATGGTAATGTTTTTTCAACTTTACATGTATAAAATCATGTGTATAATAAATTAGTTTGCAAAGAAGAATCCGTGTCAGATGAAGCTAGAAAAGGTGAGGATTGAAGAAGGAGAAGTGACGGGGGAAATTAATGGTGAGTAAGGGCACTGAGAAGGGCCCTCAAGTTCTACTCTACTCTGCAGGCTGAGGATGGGTAGTGTTGGCCTGGCGACTACGGTGGCCCCTTGTTTCTTCTTCCTGGCTTGGTATACTCCTAACATTTTTGGTTTTGTTTAATTACATAATACTTTATCCTCCATCTCATCAGCATGCTATGTTAATTAAATGGATTAGACCATTTTTTATAATTAAACTCATACTTTATTGCATGGACATGGTAATCCTGAAATCTCTCGTTAGCATTGGAAGCATTATTTCCCTAATGAGACTGAGGAATGATCAAAGAAAATGTAATATCATGTTACTAGATGAAACTTTTGTATGTAATTTGACAGTGTTGGACTTTAATTGCAATTATAGGTTTTTTGATCTTTTAACATTGAAAAAATATATATAATATATAAAATATATTTAGTATCTATTTTAATTAACATTTTATATATCTTTATAAAAATTAAAAAAAAATGGAGGTCGAAATCATGTATATTTGTTTGTTCTTTTTTTATTTTTTTAGTCTGTTTTCTAGTTTAAAAATAAAAATAGTATAATTATAAATCACATTGCATTGTAAAATTGTTACATAATATGTTATTATATAATTAATTTTTTTATTTAAAAATTCGTTTGTGATAATAAATATATTCACTTATTTAATAATTTGTCATAATTATAATTTTATAATAACGTGTAAAATTATAATTATAATATTATTAGTCTACAAAAATTATATATTAATAATTATTGAGAATTTTTTTATTATAATAAATTAGAATTTTTAAAAATGAAAGTCAATGCCTTGCCGCAGGACGAATGTGGTGTCACAGCCGGATGGTGTATTTAGCGATGTCATACTTATATGGGAAGAGATCGATTTGTTGGGTCCATAAATACATTAATTCTGTCTCCGAGAAAAGAGCTCTATAATGTATACTTCCTTACCATTGCATTGATTGGAACAAGGCCAGGAATCAATGTGCTAAGGTACATCTGTTTCTTTTTTTTGTAAAAAAAATTACTGTTTTGTTGAGAGTTACTAACCATTAAACTATTCAAGTCTATTCCAAAAATAATGTTAATGGAAACCAGGAATAAACAATATTTGTGTAGGAGGAGTTGTACTACCCACATCCTATGATTCAAGACATACTGTGGGGGTGTCTTCAAAAGATTCGGGAACCTCTTCTAATGAAATGGCCCTTGTATAAGGTGAGACAAAGGGCTCTCACCTCTGTGATGCAACACATTCACTATGAAGATCAAACCACTCACTATCTCTGCCCTGCCCCTGTCAACAAGGGATGTCTGCATTTATTTTTCCTTGTTCCTGGTTATTTACGACCTGTCACCAGGATTCATTTAATCTGTGTGCATTTAGGTTCTAAATATGGTGTGTTGCTGGGTAGAGGACCCGAACTCAGAAGCATATAAGCGTCACCTTTCAAGGATTAATGACTATCTTTGGGTAGCTCAAGATGGCATGAAAATGCAGGGATACAATGGGAGCCAACTTTGAGATGTTGTTTTCGCTGTTCAAGCAATCCTGGCTACTGACCTTGTCAATGAATATGGTTCCATGCTTAAAAAAGCACACAACTTTATTAGAAACACCCAGGTACATACATATATCTTCACTCTTAGCAATTTCAAAAATCAGCCATATGTTTTAACTAATCTATTGAGTTTTGTTATCTCAAATACCGGGTTAGGGAAGTCAGTTTTGCAGAGTACCGCCACATTTCCAAGGGAGGATGGCCTTTCTCTACTCCAGACAGTGGTTGGCCTGTATCTGATTGCACTGCATGTTGGATTTTAGGTGGTAAGAAGGAAGGAGAAGGGGGGATTGAGAGAGGACTTGGAGGAGAAGTAGAGACACCCAGAGTTCCCTCTTTTGGTCAGGTTAGAACCCATTTTCTTCCGTTGGAGTTGTGGTGTGAAAGCTGCACCAAGAGCAGCAAATGAAAAGAAAGCTGCACAAAATGGCAGCAAAATGAAATGAAAGCAGAGCCGCACCAAGAGCAGCAACAAAGTGCAGCAAACGAAGCTGCAAACGTGATGAAATAGGCTGAAATGAACAGCAAATGAAAGGCTGCAAAGTAGCAGCAAAGCACAGCACATGGAGCCGCACAAATGGCAGCAAATCTTTGAAAGTAATCTTGCATTAAATGTTTAGTAGATTTTCTTGTATGAGGTAAAGATTAGGTGAGAAAAGTAATGTTGATGTATTAAGTGATTTCTCCTATATAATGGCAGAAGATGAATGAAAAAAATGGGTTAGACCTCACCAAGCGAGGTAACTCCGAGGTAACTCTCTTCGTCTCCTCCAAGTCCTCTCCAAACCTCCTCCTTACCACAGAAATATCTAACATCTTCCATTGATATTCTGCTATTTATAGCAAAAACAACACAACATAACATAGAACATAAAGCCATAAACATAGAAGGGTGCAGACATTCACCCAACCGAGAGGAGAAACCATGCGTTCTCTTTCTCTCAATTTTCATTCAATTTCTTCCTTCCTTTTTATAGAGGAAGGCTACACATAAAAACAATAATATTTTTCTACCTAATACAATAATTATTAACTTCTTAAAACATTGACTAAAATAATGAAGTTTGCTGCCATTTCTTGTAGCCCATGTGAAGCTCCATGCTGTTGTCATTTTGCTGTTACTGTGCAGTCATGTTGCAGCATCATGTAGCAGATTTCATTTGATTGCATTTTCAGTTTTCATGCCATAGCTCCAACACTGCAGAAGCCTTGAAGGTAAAACCTTTCCATCATTATAGCCTACTATGTCTCGAACATCAAGTTTCTTGAGAGACATTCGATACATTTCCTTCATCAGTGATATTATTTGTACGTGAACTCCAATATATCACGATTCAAGGACTGAGTAAAATTTCATGTATCGTTTCCAGACAGTAGTCTTGTTATCGCAGATGCCATCCAACATTGTGGGAGAAGCAATATCAGTAGATCAACTCTATGATGCTGTTAATTACATTTTATCCATGCAGAACAGCAATGGAGGATTTGCATCATATGAACTCACAAGATCATATGCATGGTTGGAGGCAAGGACAACATATATATATTCTTATAAATATACTTCTTTTTGTAGCGAAATGACTGATGATTCATTTTAATTACAAATTCATCTTGTATTACAGATGTTGAATCCAGCTGAAGTATTTGGAGATATCATGATTGACAATCAATACGATTTTCCCTACTTTTTATCATGCATGTACTGGGTTTTAATTCAGCTAAAGCAATGGCATATCTTGATAATGTAGGTATGTAGAATGCACTTCAGCAGCCATTCAAGGCCTTACATCATTTATGAAAGTATAACTTGGACACCGGAGGAAGGAAATAGAAGCATGTATTGCGAAAGCAATTGATTTCATTGAGAGCATAGTCAGCATACAACTACCTGATGGATCCTGGTAAGATTTCAATCTCCTATATTTCTTGTTCGGTACATGAGAAAGTTAGCGTACTTAGCTGTTACACACAAGTTTTAATCCAAGATCTTGATCCCTGAATTCAAGTTTTGAAGTTATTAAAACTAACTCAGCTAAACTTTTGCTGGTTCTAAAAGTCCAAATACCAACCTACATTTTTGAGAAGTGAATTAACTTTGTGAATAGGTATGGCTCACGGGGAGTGTGCTTTACTTATGGAACATGGTTTGGGATAAAAGGACTGGTGACCGCTGGTAGGACATTCCAAAACTGTTACAGCATTCGAAGAGCATGTGATTTCTGACTATCCAAGCAACTTGATAATGGTGGCTGGGGAGAGAACTATCTTTCCTCCCAAAACAAGGTACCTAAGCACCACTTAAGCATTCAATTTAAACACAATGAAAATCTCTAACTTAGCATCTTGAACATGGAGCAGGTATATACAAACTTGGAGGGGAACAAAGCACATATAGTCCACACTGCATGGGCAATATTAGCTCTGATTGAAGCTGGACAGGTATATGCAACTTGAATGAGTATGAATATAAGTAGCATAGGGAACAATGTATCGATTTGGTTTTTGTATGGAACCGGCAGAAAGAGATCCAGTCCCACTCCATCGTGCAGCACTAGTATTGATCAGTTCACAAATGGAAAATGGAGATTTTCCACAACAGGTAAATACAGCATGTAAATTATTTAACTATAATAAGAGAATACGAAATTTATTGATGATGAAGGTAAATCATCTAGAAAAGGGATGCTTATTCATGTGATTTATTTTGTTAGGAGATCATCGGAGTATTCAACAAGAACTGTATGATTAGTTATTCAGCCTACAGAAACATCTTTCCTATATGGGCACTGGAAGAATACCGCAACCGCGTGCTATAGGCTTCTACCGAGGCCTAAAATGTGCAAATTATGATGTAAAATATGTAATGTGTACTGTGTAAAAATAAATGGTGTACTGTGTAAAAATAAATGGTGTATCTTGCAATCTCTTCTCTTGTAAATGTTTGAACTGTTGAGTCAGAACAGATAAATGATGCTTTGCTAATCTCTTTTTTATCAAAAATTGCAATTTATAACGTCCTCATTCTGGCAACAGTTGCAGGAGAACTGTCTCACAGAATAGTGGTACCAACCTTCATTGGGTTAGTAGAACCACATCTAGAAAAGATTTCATCAGATAATAAAACAAAAGGTAGAAAGAACCTCAAAATTGTGAGTTGCTGAAAAATGTGACCATGCATCTCGTAACTTGGAATGATCTATCTATTCTCTGCCATACATCCGAATGAATTTCCAGAAGCTTACTTGCCTTGTCTTGTAATCTTGAATGACTGCGTATTGTTTCACCATGTATCTGAACAGAGAAAATTCAAATGGTGTCAAAGACAACTTCAAATCAACATAACACCAAAATTCAGTATATGCTAAGACAGAGATAACACTAAATCTTGGCTGAAAACTAGCAGCAGATCTGTAAGTGCGTGCAAAGGAAATCAAGATTGTCCAGATTTTGCTCGACTGTGTTTTGCTATATCATTTTTCTAAAACCCTAAGCATTACTTATCAACTAATTTAAAATTTTGGAAAAGGAAATCACTTTTTTAAGCAAGAAACATTACCTTTAAAAATAACTTGAGAAGGGCTTGTATAAACTCATAGTTGTTTCTGCATGAAATTTCATGGATAAAATAGTCCAAAAGCAGTTCAATGAAAATCATCTCAGATCTCTTATCAAGTTCTTGCTGATCATCGTCTACAATCTGAAGCATTCGCAGTTCCATGTCCAAAGTTGAAGGTGACAAACTTTTAAGATAATCAGTAAACACTGAAACTGAAACGTGTTAAGTACAAGAATGTAAGTAAAGAGGTCTCCTAGAGATATTTTACAAATCAATAATAAAAATATAAGCTGACCCTAAAAGATCAGACTATTGGCATACTCACAATTTTTCATCTTTGCAGAGGACTGCAGGAGTTGCACAAACTGTGATGGTGGCATGTCTAATTTTGTTTGACTCTTTGCCATCTCATCACTTTCACCACCATTCTCTTCATCAGCTGACTCACTGGGCTTGAATATTATTTCGCCAGAAAGAGATGGAACTGTAGGCAAGAAGAAAGGAGCCTTTTCAGGTTGTTTGGGAGGCTCAATGGGTTTATTGCGGACCTGCAAATCAATTTAAGGAACCTAATTGTCAGTCACCAATGCAAAATAAACAGCAAATAAGTCAAAAAGACAAGATGTAAGAGATTACTTGAAATAAAATAAATACCCAGTGGGAGCAAAGAAATAGACCTTTATGATATCTAAATTGATCAAGCTCTGCCATTGGCTCTTTGGCAACAAAGAGAGGGTCACCAGCCCTGGAATCTGCTTATTAGGTATTGAAGAAACAGTAGAAACATCTTCAGAGACTGAGTGGTCAATGGCACGCTCATCAGAATCCTCTACTTGTAAACCATCCATCTGAGAGACAGATGGCAACTTGACATTTACAACTTCCTTCCCACTTGCAAATGAATCCACATTTGAAGCTCCAGAGAACATAGACTGGTTAACCCTAATTACAATTGCCAGTCATTTACCTTTTATTCATTAAAAAAAACCTGAATTTATAGTGCCACTAGAAACACCAATATGACAAACCAAGCATTTGAATAATCACATTATCCTTTGGGTTCTTTCCAAAGGTGAAAGTTACTGTTAAGTTGATTAGTTTGATAAAATATCATAAAGATCATCACCAAGCTTTGTTCCCTGTTCTCTTCAACAAGTCAGTGCAAACAGAAAAATTTATAAGCATGCATGATAAGTCCACCAATAGTGAAATACTTCCAATAACAGAATAAAAGTGGGTGAGACAAAATTGGAAACTAACCACATGTAGATACCATTCTGATCAACATGGGCAGTTGCCAAAACATCCATATTTGGTGACAGGGACAATGCCGTGATAGCTACATCGACATGAACAGCATCAATTTGTCTTGCCAAAATCACATCCCAAATTCTCAGACTCCCGTCCATGCTTGATGACAAAAGCCATTTGCCATCTTCACTGAAACACAAATCTGTAATACGGTCTGCATGGCCTTCAAATTTACGAACCATTCTTAATGCCCCAACATCAAACAGACGAATAATTAAATCATCTGCCACTGTAGCCAAAAGACCTGCAAAATAATGTCAAACAAAACTTGGTTGCCATGTACATGATTCTAGGTTAACAAAACTAGCAAAAAATGAGGAAGAGATAAAACAAAGATGAATGCAACACACACAATGATAAGGGTACAATCCCATGTGGAAAAATAATGTAAGTTAGAAGAAATAATTACCATTAAGACGATGGTACACAATCTTTACCAGAGGGCAACCAACTTCCCATCTGGATTTTAGTTCACGTCCCTTAAAATCCCAAACCTGAACAGATTCAAGGAGTTAAAACAGTCTAACAGAGCTCAATCAACCCTGTTCTGCCTGCTGTAGTAGGCGCTGGAAAACTAGGATAAGTTCGCATCGAAAGCCACTCATTGGTAGCAAAGATATATTTGTTTAAATACAGAGCAAATACAAAACAAAGGTAGCTCAAGTGCCAGTAGTTTCAGCTTCTAGAGGGTAAGAAGCTGAAGCTCCATGTTTGAAGCTTTGGAAAAACACTTTTGTGCACAGACTGTTAAGTACTTAATTTATCAACTTCCAAAATTGCCTACAATCACTTAATGTAATTTCATCTTGCAACAATTTTTTATAAGCTCTAGAACTATATTTCTATAAAATCTCCAGCTAGGCCAAAAAAACAGAGAAATAAGGATTACAATGAACTCTTATGTTCAACCTGCATCACTTCCTGAGGAAAAACTGGTGAATCTTTTTGACTGAAAATGGTGATTTACTTCCATATTTCTCATCAGTGGTGGAAATCAAAGTAATGACGTCAAAATACAGAACATGATATCTAGGAGACCAAATACCTTTATATCTCCATGATATCCAGCACTTATCATCAGGGAATTTGTAGAATCGCAAGCAACTCCAATGACTTCTCCATGATGAGCACGTCCTTTTTCTGACAGGTCAACATAGCAGCCTCGGCTGATTCCTGATTGAAGGTTGAATCGCTCAATCCAACCACCTGCAGTCCCAAGAACAGCAAAATTGCCACAAGCACTGATGGCACAGGCCTATTACCAGATGAGACAAGTCATCAATGATAATTCACTTATGAATTAAGAAATTATGAATAATATGAACTGTTGCCCCTCATTTGTAGATTTGAATTCTTCACTGCTTTGCTAAACCCAGTAAAATCCTCAAACCAGAACAGAACAGGGATCAACACTCCCCCTCACACATAGCTCCAATATAATAACTAACCTTAACTGGAGTTGGGTTTTCAGGACATGGCCTCAGGATATGCTCACCAAGAACGAAGTTTTGAAGTCTCCACACATATGCCTGTTCGGTATCCATGTGGCATGTAACCACATTGCACCAATCTCTTTCCCTAATTTCAGCTATTTTTTGAAGGACAGAAAAAAAAAAAAAAAAGAAAAAGGAAAAGAAAAATAGAGATAGGAAAATGACTTTAGAGATGAATAATTCCTTAGGAATTTATTTTGCACCATTCTAGGAAATTCAGAAAGCTTTGCAAATGGGAAAGAGCTTTAAGTGAAAGATCATACCGCAGTCAAATGCAACAACTGGCTTCAATTTTAACTCTTCTACCTGAAATTAAGCAATTAACTCAGTGGCAGCTGGTGATAAATTCTATGATTGAATAGAATTAAGAATTGATGACATACAGGTGGTATGTGGATGATGGAATCATATGTCAAATTCATCTCACATAAACATTTAGATCATGTGCAAATTGAAAATGTAATGTAGTTCACCCAAATAATAATAATAATAATAATAATAATAATAATAATACAAAAATCAACTATTTTCAAACCAAAAAAGAAAAATATTTGTACAAAAAAGTACTAGTCGTCACCCTAGTCATACTTTCATCTTGAGTTTCTTGGCTCGCTTAGATATGTGGCGTTGTGAAAGCTCTCTACTTTGCTGATCCTAATCATTCAAGAACAAGCACTAGTGAGCAAAGGAAACAGACCCACAGAAATTAAATTCTAAATATGTTAAAATCTAGGAAGCTTTTAACAAACCTGAATGACAGAGAAAAGGCGAAATGCGCGATCTTGACCTGCAGAAAGGATATGTCTTCCATTGGCATAGAACCTGCCATAAGTTGGATTTAGAACCAGGAAAATCCAAATACAAAACAAACAAGCATTCAGAAGAAAAACATGTAACTATTAAACCATAATCTATGTAGAAAGTTGTGGGGAACTGTAATATAGATTCTTAAAAGAAAAGGAAGATAAATGATAGAATTCTCATGAAAACACTCCATACTTAACCCCAATTCCATTTAAAACTACACCAAAATTCCAATACTTATTTAAAAGCTCCATTCAGTGACATGCAAAGAAATAAACCCTTCAATGTCCTTATATGGTCCACTTTTTTGCTGTTTTTATCTTCTTTTCTTCCCCCTATATTTTAGTTTCCACCATTTTTTACTTCTTTATTTTTCACTTTCATTTATCATTCTCTAAGTAAATAATAACAATTCTGTGCATGCCTAAAATCAACTCATAGAAATACCTTATGCAAAGTGGAGGAGCACTATGCCCACTTCGAAAACGTAGAAGTCTAGGATCTCCATCACTTGTGTCAAAAATCCACATCTACAAAAAATAACAACAAGAGAACGCATTTACAAGAGATAAAGTGCTCTTGTGGGAGATCACAAGATAAACTAACTCAACAGAAAAGAAATCTGCTACTCACTTGTAAACTTAGATCAACTTAAATGACACAAGCAAACTTATTAGGAAATAAGATAACCAACTGAAGTCAAAATTTATCTGACAATATGGATGATATAAATAAGCCATAATTACACAAAAATACCATAAACCAAAAAAAGACTAAGATTAATAAGGAGAATAATGATAATATAATCTAGTATTTCAGCTCAGGCAGATCTTAATCCTGTATTTTTGGAGCAACTATTCAATCAATTCTCCTAAAAGTCAGCAAAAGCACATATCTGATGGTTTATATCTTGAATGCTCATATCACGTATTCAAAATATTCCTCCAAGAACCTTTAGTCACAAGAATTTTCATGCTTATAATGTTTGTATTATGGGTCTAATCACACTACAGGCCCCCCCAAATCATCCATTGATTGAGATAATAAGAAAGAAAAATGAAGCTAAATTTAACTTACTTTAATTGAGTTATCAGCTGATGAACTCATCAGAACAGGCTCATTAGCCAAAAAGTGAAGTGAGATTATTGAACTGTCATGAGCTTCTCTTATGACTGATTGTAGCCTTCCTTTCTCAAGATTCCATATGTTTATGACCCCAGAAGAACCTCCAGATGCTAAAAGAGGCTGTCCATCTAAAACACGTAGACCAAACAAAGATCAGTACAAGCCCACCAGATAACAGAATAACTTTTATTTTACTCACTGATCAGAAACAGGAACCTAAGACGTCCAATATTTGCACAACTTTTGGTACTTAAACTAGATACCTATGATGCCAATGAGCTTGAAACAGACCAATGCCAAACCTTCTTGATCTCATTGATTAGAAGCTCATTTAATAAAGAAAATTAAGGAGAAAACAAAAGAAACAATTGCAAATTGCAACTGTGCCCTTCATACACTTCAGAATGGAAAGATTAAAACAAAGAAAAGCAAGGATAATCAACAGAAGTTCTACTATGGCTGTTAGGCTATAGAAACTGCAACAAAAAAAGCAAGAAAATTTCTCATACCTAATTCTTAAAAAAGAAGAGAGGCCCCATTCATTTTCCATAACTCACCATTGAAATCTTATTACTTTTAGGGATAAGAAATCTAGCATTTAATAAAACTCAAACATTGAGACCAAAAAAAAGAAAAAAAAAAAAAAAAGATCCAGAGTCAAGCACAACACTCTTTGAAAGTACCTCCACAACAATAAGAAAGATATCTGATTATCACCTGTGCTAAAAGATAAGGAAGTCACAGCACCCCGTGCAGAATGTTTAAATGTAACCACCTCCACATCAGAACGTATGTTGTGAACATGAATACTTCCATTGGCACATCCAACCGCAATAACATCTAATGCAGGTGACGAGACAGAACTGCAAATAGATGAATTCCAACCCCTGAACTCAAAAAGCTTTATCTTCGTACTAATGTTCCAAAGCTGCAAAGAACCCTCCTGGCTCCCAAGAATAACCTGTATATAAGTTCCTAAGTTCAAAACATATTCTTTTCTTTTCCATGTAGAACTTCACGTCATGCTTTAAGTTAACCAAAAAAAAAAAAAAAAAAAAAACCGAAGCAACAATTACCTTGTTCAAGTAAGTATCAGGATGCATTATACAGCTAGGACTAAAATTTTCATCAAGCTTAATATGTCCGACTGGAGCAAGATTGTTTTCAATTCCTTTAAATGCCCAAATGAAGATATTTCCATCTGCATCTACACTTAGAATGTGCTCTCCAAACAAAAGCAACAAATTAACCTTCGCGCTATGTCTGCTCCAAGTTGCTACCTGCAAAAGTAGATATATAATTAAACAGAAAGGAAAAAGAAAAGGTTTATGTATCAGCAGCTCATATTAAAAAAAGGGGCAAAAACCTGATGAGCTCGCTTAAATACTGCAATATGAGTTCCATAGGCAGCAAAGGTGTAATCACGATATGAAGCAAGGGCTCGTATCTTCTTCGGCAATTGGGGACCTTAAACCCAGAAAAAAAAAATTTGATATTGATTATTTTTTACCTAGAAACTGAACTTAAAAATCAAATTAAAATCAGAAAAACTTACCAATTAGCACCAAATTAAGCTTTGCGCACTGCAGGAGTAAAAACATTATAAACTGAATTAAAAACATGAAAAAAATGGAACAGAAAGAAAAAAATAGAAGAAAGGTTGCTTTTTTACGTTGTAAATCTGAAAAGCTTTGCCGACACTGACGGTGACGAAGGTTTCGGTGCCCAACCGCTGAACGGAGAAAGGAACACTGCTAGTTATGTACCCAAGTGCTCTGTATGGCTCAAAAATCCCCATTTTTTTCGACTTATGTTTTCGGATTTGAGCCAGAGGGGAGCGGCAGCGAAGTTTAAGAGCAGGGTTTAGGGTTTTGGCGTTTGAAGAAGACGAGGGTGGGCGCCAAAACGGCGCCGTTCGTTTCTCCCGGGAAAATGCCGCAAGTTCTTTTTCTTTTTCATTATTCCTTGTGTAAAACCCGTAAGTCAAGCCCTCTAGCTTTAAAACGTTATTTGTGTCTGCCCTCGCTGTTTTTTTTTTTATTTGTCTTTGATAAATAAACCCAATTTTAAAATGGGTTTTTTTAATTTGTGTTTTAAAGTGTAGAGTAAATATGTATTTTTTTAACATTAATTTGTATAAAAATATGAAAATTGATATTAAAAATCTTTTCCACTTAGATGAATTTAATTAGATATTTATTAAAATTAATATAAGTTTTTTATGTCAATTAATATAAAATAATACAATATAAACACTTTTAACCTATATTTAATAGCATACATTAGAAAAACCATTAACTTTTAGTACTTCTTAAAATGCAAATAAAATATAAAGAAAATGTTAAGTATGGATGTAAAAATGTAGAGCAAAACTCAATTCATCATTTTTAAGGTGGAGCGTAATATATTTTGGAAACAAAACTTAAGAGGTCTCTCTATATAAAATATCATATATAATTTATTTATTTTTAAAATTATCAAGTCATTCATGAGTCTTTATCTAATTCAATTAACTCTAGAGATCAAAATTTTGTTTAGAAAATGAGTCATGTTAACCGACGAGGGGTTGAATCAAGTAGTAAGCGGCTTGTTCCAACTTAAATAAAATCTTGAGTTTGAGATCTTGTAAACGCAACAGCCCCGCTGAGAGACTCACCCACCATTTTCAGGTGTGCGATACGAGTCAGATTCGAATTAGTCGAAGTGAAACCCCGGATAACAGATGGGAAACCAAAAAAAAAAAAAAGAGTCAGGCTAAAGTTAAACTTAAATCATGCAACTCTTTGACTTAAGTAGCTATTAGTCTAATTATTAAGGTTGAAAATTGTGAAAGTATTATATCACATGTAAATATATGGAAATTAATTGATAATTAAACCATTTGACTAGAATGATGAAAAGAATACATCCTTAATAATGTTTTCACTTCATTTTCACTTGTATTATTCATTTCCATATTTTGTACTTAAAAAATATTATGATGTTTTTATGAAAAGAAGAGAGGCCCGATCCATCTCCCATAATTACGAGAAAATATTAAACATCATCATCTATATATACTTTAAAAATAATTATGATGTTTTAATCATTTTTAATAAAATTTTATTAAAGTGATGTAATTTTAAAATAATTTTATATTTAATTATTTACAATATAAATTGATATTTATTTTTTTGATAATTTGATAATTAATATTTTTTATTTTACAAAGACTTGTGATATTTTAATATGGAAATCATATAATTGAACTAAACTTATTATGCTCAAAATTTATTAAAACATGAGTTCAATTCATTTTAAATCTAGCTCAAATATCTTGTTAATAAATATATATATGCAAATTATTTATTTATTAAAATCAAAATTTCTTAGCCAAAATCTTGTATTCTATATAAATGGCAACGTTATTATTGGCTGTAAGAAGGTTTGAATGAGTAAATAAAAAAAAATAAAAAATAAAAAATAAAGAGAGAGAAAATGAGGTATAATTTTCTATATAAAAAATTTCCCAGAAAGCAGAGTGAATACAAAATCACTGGCGGTAAGGTTTCACTTGAAAGTTGAAACAATCTCCGCCATTGAAACAGAACATCAAGAAAGGGAAAGGAAAAAGACGAGGGAAGGAAGCTTTTTCTCTTTCCGGAACTACTTCTGTGATGGGTAGTCCTCATTGATTCACATTGAATTTGTTCAGGAAGGCGTTAGACAAAACGACAACAAAGCACTCTTGTTTTCCTTGTATTATTTAAATCGGTCCCTTCCTCTCTTTCCAAGCACAAACTAAACACTTCCCTCCTCCTACAATCTCACTAGCCAAACGCGTGAAAGGGGGTTACTTTGCTGGTTCGAAGCGGATTCTCGAGTTTAGAAAGCCCTTTTCTTTTGTTGTCAATCTTGGGTTTCATTGATTTTCATCAAATTTTTCAATGATAGTTGTTGTTTGTTCAGTTTAATGTTATGGGTTGTTTTGCGGGATAATGGGTTTGGTTTAGAATTCTGTCTGGTTTATGAGAAAGTGTGGATTTATTAGGAGAGGAAAGGGAAATTTGGCTATTTTTCCATTTCTGATTAATGGTGGTAGAATGTAGATCAAATTCCATACCATCCACAATTGATTTTAGGTTTAATACCCAATTTGGTCCTTAAACTTTCATTATAGAACTTAATTCATCCTTAAACTTCAGAAAGCACTCAAGTGGTCGTTTAACTTTATTTTTCTGCAACCCAAATGGTCCTTCCGTTGATAGATTGCATACCTGGCACGTTTAAGTGTCCAACAATTACCATTTTTAATTTTTATAAGCTTACCTGGAAAAAACAACTCAGCAAATTAATTACGTGGCACTATTTTCATTCAACCTCACAGACGACGTACAGCGGCTCTCCGACGAACCTCTCCCTTTTCTTCAGCTAGTTTGGTCATCCGATTTTGGAGAATGAGAATTGGACTGAGTTCGCACTGGATTTGATTCGTGCGCTGGAAGAAACTCCTGACAGGACGAAAAGCTTGGTGGAATTCAACAGGTCATGGCAGAACAGAATAAATCCCAGAAACAAGTTCGCCGAAAAACAGACTTAATAATTTTAGCGTAAGAATTACACTTTCAATATATAGTGTGCATTAAAATACATAAATTTCTTTTTAATTTTATAAAAGAAAATCTGAAATCTTACCTCGAATTGAAAAAGCCAGTTGTCTTCTCCGGCGCCGAATCCTTTGTGGAGATGTTACGCCGACAAACTCTGAATATTTAAAACTAAAAATTAAAAATAAATCAAGAAAAAAAAATACAGAACAAATTGCTCATCAATTTTTTTTCAGTACAAAATTAAAAGGCTTATAGGCTTCTTGAGCGACGGCATCTCAAACCAGAGTCATTCCAACCAGGAGGCGGTCCTCCGAGCAAACGCATGATGGCGCCGCAGTGCAAACTACGAAAACCAGTAATCTCAATAGCTCGATTGAATTCCCATTTATGGGGTGATATGGTTCTTATAAAAACAATGATCTTTTCAATTTTTGGTAAAGCAAAATAGATAGAGGCTAATAAAACAAAAGGCAAATTTTGTAAGAGGAATTTAATCGAACAACTGATAACCAGCAACAGTAATACCAAAGTAATCACCATATTTTCTTCTGATGTGTTTCACTCAAAGCGGCCATCAGTGCAAGCGTTTCTCGGGGGAAATTAGTCTCCGGAGCCACCACTGATTCCAATTTGACTTCTTCAGTGCCCACATTTGCGAATCCGTTCTGGAATGAAATGATTGTCATTGCTAAAAGATCGATGACGAACTCAAGAAGAATGCCTGAACTGTTCAGAATCCGATTGGGCGCCTTTGTGGTCACCTTATTCATCTTGGCGACGATATTCTGGCACCTGGACAATTCCCCCAAAGGGGTTCAAGAACGAATTGGGTTCTTCGCCTTCGCCATGTCCATCAACTTCTACACCTGTGCTGAAGCCATCCCTGTTTTCCTCCAAGAACGCTACATCTTCATGAGAGAAACAGCTTACAATACCTACCGCCGACCATCCTACGTCCTCGCCCACTCCATAATTTCCATCCCTTCCTTAATCGTCCTCTCCATCTCCTTCGCCGCCATAACTTTCTGGACGGTAGGACTTGCCGATGGCTTCCATGGGTTGCTCTTCTTCTTCCTCACCATCTTCGCCTCCTTCTAGGCCGAAAGCTCCTTCATCACATTCCTCTCCGGCGTCGTCTCCCATGTCATGCTCGGATTCACTGTAGCAGTCGCCATCCTCACCTACTTCCTCCTTTTCAACGGCTTCTTCATCTCCCTCGACTAAATCCCCTTATAGGCGAAAATGTGAGGTGGAATGAAAATAGTGACATGTAATCAATTTGCTGAGTTGTTTTTTCCATGTAAGCTTATAAAAATTAAAAGAGGTAATTGTTAGACACTTAAACGTGCCAGGTATGCAGTCTGTTAACAGAAGGACCATTTGGATTACAGAAAAATAAAGTTAAAGGACCACTTGGGTGCTTTCTAAAGTTAAAGGATGAACTAAGTTCTATAATGAAAGTTTAAGGACCAAATTGGGTATTAAACCTTGATTTTATATACTTTTGCTGTCTGATTCAGGAAGGATTTTTTTTTTTTTTGGGGGGGGGGGGGTGGCTGGGAATGATCAAGAAGGAAATTTATTTATGCTTGTTCTTCTTATTGAATTTCAAATTTCATGGTGTTGATAAACCGGCGATTGTTTAACTTTATTTGCTTGGTTGTGTGGCGAAGGAAAAGAGGTTTACATTATTATCATTCCTTTTCTTTTAATTTCATGGCATTGATCAAAATTTTCTTGTTTGGTTTTTTATTGAAATTGTCCCTCTGTTCTTTTGAATTTGGTAGTTCCTTTCTTCAGGGTAGGAATTAAACTACAGTAATGACTGACCATTATTTAAAAGGAAAAAGGAAATATTACATTTTTCTGGTCAGGAGAAGAAAAATCTTCAATTGCATCTAGGAACTAAACCTAGTTGACTTGAATTCTTCATATGCTGTTAGAAAACAGGCCATGAATTTATTTTTAATAGATGGATAGAATATTGTTATTCATAGTGTTAAATCTATCATAATATCATCTATTTAATTCATACTTTGTCTTGCATCAGGTTTTGTTTGAGGAACTTTCTTGACAACAACCAGAAGTGGTTGATCTTCTGGGAGAGAAGATGGAATCAGAAGGAAAGGAAGGAAAGGAAAGGAAGACTGTGGTGACACAGGTTTGTGTTGGTGGATTTGGCAGTGACGTCAGTGCAAAAGAACTTGTGGGTTACCTGGAAAATAATGAAGGATTCCAAGTTTTGCGCTGTAGACTGAAGACTTCTTGGACACCTCCAGAGTCTTATCCTGACTTTCAGATTTCAGACACTGCAAACATCCAAGGAACAGATGACTTTAGGAGGGTGGAGCCCCATGCATTTGTTCATTTTGCTGCATCACAGTCAGTAACTTGGGCTTTGGAAGCTGCAGGTCGCTGTGAGCTTTTCTTAAACAATAAACCATTGAAGGTCAGCCTGGGTCCTGAAAATCCATTTAGCATGAATCAAAGGGGGAGAGACACATATCCTTTTAAGTTAGCTGATGTGCGACTTGAGATAGGAACTCTGGTCAGCCAGAATCAGTTCCTCATTGGTTGGAAAGGACCACCTTCTGGAGTTGATTTTCTAGTGGATCCTTTTGATGGCAGATGTAGATTTTGTTTCTCTAGACATACAGCCTTCTCTTTCAAGAACGTGAATGAGCATGCTTTGATGAAATGTGAGTTCAAAGTGGAGTTCCTTGTCCGCAATATTAATGAGATGAATCGTTATTCAGATCTGACATGTATTGTATTACTTTTGCAACTGGCTTCAGCGCCTTGCATCTGGTATAGAACTGCTGACGATGATATTAAAGAACTAGTTCCCTTTGATTTGTTGGACGATGATGGTCCATGGATCCGGACCACAGATTTTACACCTAGTGGGGCTGTTGGTCGGTGTAATATCTACAGAGTTTTGATCCCTCCTCGTTATGGTGCAAGATTGGGGAAGGCTATTGAATACCTAAAAGGGCAAAGAGTGAAGGATGGCCGCATCACGTTGCCACTAAAGGTCAGGAATGAACCTGAATTTGGGATTCTCATGTCGGATCCTTTCTTCAGCACCAGCAAGTTTGGAATACCCTTTGAGATGATGTTTTTGGTTAATGCTGTAATGCACAAAGGCATATTCAACCAGCACCAGTTATCGGAGAGCTTCTTTGACCTCCTTAGAAACCAATTGATGGAGGTCAATTTAGCTGCCCTGAAGCACATCTGTTCCAGTGAATACCCAGTGTTTGATGCCTCTAGGAGACTGCAGATGGTCCAGGAATGGCTTCTGAGAAATCCTAAGCTTTTTAAATGCCCTAAACAGCTGGATAATGTTGTGGAAGTTAGAAGGTTGGCAATTACTCCAACTAAAGCTTATTGTCTTCCACCAGAAGTTGAGATATCCAATAGGGTTGTAAGAAAATATAAAGAAGTTGCTGATCGGTTTTTAAGGGTTACCTTTATGGATGAAGGGATGCAGACAATGAATGCCAATGTTTTGACCTACCATGTTGCTTCGATTGTGAGGGATCTGACTTCAAACCTTTTTCCTCAGAAAACTCGAGTCTTTGAAAGGATAAAGTCCATTCTGTCCAATGGGTTTTACGTGTGTGGTCGGCAATACACTTTCCTCGCTTTCTCATCCAATCAATTGAGAGACCGCTCTGCATGGTTTTTTGCTGAAGATGGCAAGGTAACTGTGCAAGGAATCATAGCTTGGATGGGAAAATTTGGTAACAAAAATATTGCAAAATGTGCTGCTAGGATGGGTCAGTGTTTCTCATCCACCTATGCAACAGTTGAAGTTCCATCAGCAGAGGTCACTGAGATCCCTGATATTGGGAGGAACGGTTATGTTTTCTCGGATGGGATTGGTTCAATGACTCCTGATCTGGCTGTGGAAGTAGCTGAGAAACTAAAGCTGGAAATCCGTCCCTGTGCATATCAGATTAGATATGCTGGATGCAAAGGTGTTGTGGTTTGTTGGCCTGCAAAGGGTGATGGCATCCGTCTGTCTTTAAGGCCCAGCATGAACAAGTTCCAGTCCAACCACACAACTTTGGAAATTTGTTCTTGGACTCGGTTTCAGCCAGGATTTTTGAACAGACAAATTATTACATTGCTTTCAACGTTGGATGTTCCTGATGAAGTGTTTTGGAGAATGCAAACCTCCATGCTTTCCAAGTTAAATAAAATCCTCGTGGACATGGATGTGGCATTTGAAGTTCTCACCTCATCCTGTGCTGAACAAGGGAATACAGCAGCCATAATGCTCAGTGCTGGTTTCAAGCCTCAAGAAGAGCCTCATTTATGGGGGATGCTAACTTGTATAAGAGCAGGTCAACTTTGGGGTCTAAGGGAAAAGGCAAGGATTTTTGTTCCTTCAGGCAGGTGGTTGATGGGCTGCTTGGATGAACTTGGGGTACTTGATCAAGGCCAATGTTTTATACAAGTCTCAACTCCATCTCTGGAAAACTGCTTCTCAAAACATGGCTCAAGATTTTCTGAGGCAAAGAGCGATTTGCAAGTGATAAAAGGTTTTGTGGTTGTAGCTAAGAATCCTTGTCTTCACCCTGGAGATATAAGGATATTAGAAGCTGTTGACGCCCCTGGTTTGCATCATTTGTATGATTGCTTTGTGTTCCCACAGAAAGGTGAAAGGCCCCATGCAAATGAAGCTTCTGGAAGTGATCTTGACGGGGACCTCTACTTTGTCACCTGGGATGAAAACCTCATCCCGCCAAGTAAGCAGAGCTGGACACCCATGCAATATGATGCTGCAGATGTTAAAAAATTGAAACGTCCAGTGACTCAGCAGGTAAACTATTATTCACTGAATTTTAGTTTTGTGAAAACTGAAAATGTCATGTTGCCAGTGTTTCCCCTCATCAAATATATTACATAATTGTATTGAGTAGGTAGCTACTAACCATATATCTATAGGGCAAAGTGTTTTGTAGGATGTCCTCCATGGAGGACATCTCCAAAAATATCATTTTAATTAATATTTTAAAAACCAACTCCAAAAATATCATATTTTAATTAATCTTTTTGAAAACGAACCATTAGATTGAACATTCTTTTAATGTAGATCACTCATGTCCATTTTCAAATTGAACGTTTAGATGGATCTCTATTGATGGTACTATTCTGAGGCATTTCTGGCATTATTTTGGAATATATTGCTTGCCTTGTCAGTGATATATCATTGTGTTACACAAGATTTCCATATGGAGAAACAAGAGCAGATATATGTCAGTGTAATAGTAGTAATGGACAACAGAGGAAAAATATATTAGATAAGCAGAGCAAGTCAGATTCTCTTGTTTATGATTTAAACTGTCTAGAATTCTGAGGAATATGGTGTCATAGATAAAATTTCTTACTGTTTTATTTTTGTGTTGATTCTGCAGGACCTCATTCACTTTTTTGTTGAAAACATGGTTAATGAGAGCTTGGGGACCATCTGCAATGCTCATGTTGTTCATGCAGATATGAGTGAGTATGGAGCATTTGATGAGAAGTGTATTAAACTTGCAGAGTTAGCAGCCACGGCTGTTGATTCTCCTAAGACTGGGAAGATGGTTACAATGCCTTCTGATCTAAAACCAAGACAGTATCCAGATTTTATGGGAAAAGAAGAGTACCAGTCATACAAGTCAAAGAAAATCTTGGGACAACTATATCGCCATATCAAGGATGTGTATGATGGAGATATTTCTTCACCTGCTGAGCTTGAGTTTGTTCCTGGTGACGTCCCATATGACAAAGACCTTGAGGTTCCAGGATCTGCTGACTATATTGCTGATGCATGGGAGAAAAAGTGTTCCTATGATGGACAAATGAATGGCTTACTGGGCCAATATAAAGTGAAAAGGGAAGAAGAGGTAGTAACTGGGCATGTGTGGTCCATGCCCAAGTACGCCAGTAGGAAGCAAGGGGAACTGAAGGAGAGGCTCAA